TGGTTAGTGCAGGGGGCTGGGAGCCAGGATGACTGTTTTGGTCCCAGCTCTGGCATGGCCTCTCTCCGTGACGTTGGGCAAGTCTCCTCAAGCTGCCTGGGCCTCCGTGTGTTTCCGGGCGTGGACAATACTTGCCTGGTCCCAGGGGCCGGGTCTGCAAGGCTGCAGGAAGCGGCTCGGGGGCCAGCTGCTCTGTGTGTGTGTGTGTGTGGGGGGAGGTGTTGGGCTGACCACAGGAACCACCAAAGCTTTGGGGGGACAGAAAAGAGCCGTTCACTTGAACGCCCGGCCAATGGGGTCTCCCTAGGCCCAGCCAGAGGCAGACGATGCCCGGCCCTGCGCCAGCCACTCTGCCTCGCCCACGGACACAAACCATCAGGCATGTTGTACAAAACGTTGGACAGTTTTATTGTAGTTTTAAAAACACTTTAAAAGGCGAATCTCTCTGGGGAAAGAGCTTTGACTCTCCAGCCTCGCCGGGCCGCCCGCCTGTGAACAGTTCTGCCAAGCAGGTGTCTTCAGCACCGGTGCGGCCCGTTCTGCTCCTCCTCCCAGCTTGGGGGGCTTGGCTCGCAGGGAAGAGATTGGGGGGCAGTGGCTGCTCAGGGGGTTTGGCTCTTTTCGGACTCCCAGCCCCAGCTCGTCCTGCTAGCAGCGAATGGGCTCCGGGGGCTGGTCTCTGCCCCGCTGGCTGGGCTTTCCTGGGCAGTGCCCGCTCCGCGGCGGAAGCTAGAGGCTGTTGCGGGGCCAAGGCTCTGGATTGTGGTGAAAATCGCAGGTGGGAACTGAGCCAGCACGGCCGGGGAATGGTGGGCAGGTGCCCCAGGCCGTTGGCTGCCCTGGCACAGGTAAGCCTGGGGTCCCCTCCTGGAAGCGTCTCGGAGCAGCAAGCCAGTTCTCACTATTTATTTACATTTCTTATATGAAAATAGGAGGCCATTGGTCCGCAGCCTGTCTGGTTTCCTGTCCAGCCCCCGGACGCAGGGGCCTGGCCTGCCTGCTGCTGAAGTTGCCCCGGCTGCCCCCTCTCCCGGGGACTCAGGGCCGTGCCCCTTGGCCTGGCACCCGGAGGCCACGGAAAGAGGCGCTTGCTCCAGCCAGTCACCCCACAATTCCGTTAGAAAGGGACTCAGACGTCAGCCCGGTGGGGCCGGGGTGGCAGCGTGGTGCCGCCGGCAGGAGGCTGCAGTCACGTGGCGGGTGCAGCCACAGACAGACAGCGTGCGCCTCGCTCGCTCCCAGCCTGGGGACCGCTTTGCCCAGCTGCTCCACAACCACTGGGGCGGCGGCTGCCGCTTTGCAGGGACTTCCAGAGCCGCTGCTGCCACTTGCCACAGCGGGCCAGGGTGGAGCTGGGCACGGGGCCACGCCCCTCAGTCACTGTCCGAGCCCACGGCGGACGAGCCTTTCCGTTTCCGTTTGGTGGGTTTCGGCTTGGTGTCCTCTTCCTCCTGAAAGGCAGAGCAGGGGGCAGTCGTCACGGGCACTGCCGGGCGGGCAGAGGGGCAAGGCCCGGTGGGGTGGGGATCACGGGCAATGTCGGGAGGGGACGGCAGGGCCTGATTGGGGGTTGGCGGTTGTCATGGACACTGCCGGGCGGGCAGAGCCCGGCGGGGTGGGGATCACGGGCAATGTCGGGACGGGACGGCAGGGCCCGGTTGGGGGTTGGCGGTTGTCATGGACACTGCTGGGCGGGCAGAGAGCCAGGGCCTGGTGGGGGTGGCCCTCCGCGGGTGCTGCCGGTGAGGCTGGGGTCAGTGGGATCCTTGCCCCATTGCGCAGGGCTGTGGCAGAACCGTGTGGCCAGCATGGCTGTGTCCAGAAGCAGCCCCCAGAGCTGGCATGGCTGAGGGCCCCGCCAGAGGAAGAAGGTACAGGGCGGCAGGAGCCCCCTATCCAGGGGAAGGAGTCGGGAAGCGCATGGGAACCCCGCTGAGAGTGCTGCAGCCCTGCCTTGAAGCCCATTGGGATGAGGGCTCCCGGACGTGGCCAGACGTCCCTCGCTCCGTGGCCGGGACCCCGCGTGGTGCCACGCCCCAGCTCTCCAGGGGGCCCCTGGGGGTGGCACTCACCGAGGCGCTGCTGGAGGCAGACTCCTCCTCGTTGTTGGCTGGCTGGGCGGCGTTCTTCCGGCTGCGGGGGCTGGACAGCGCGGCCTTCCGGCGGCTCTTCGGGGGCTTGCTGGAGGAGTCCTCGTACTCCTCTGCCAGGGAGAAGAGGTCGCTGAACCTGGACCGAGAGCAAGCAGGGTGCGGTCAGGGTCTGGGCACCCCCAGCCCCACCCCTCCCCGAGTCTGCTCAGCCCCCCATGGCCTGGGCCTCCGCCAGCCCAGCTCTGCTCCCTCCTGGCCTGTCACTGCCCCAGCTCTCTGGACACCCCCCGTCACTCCCGCATGCCCTGGGTGACAGGCTATGCGAAGCCCGGTGCGTAGCCCCAGACTGTGTGAAGCCGGGCGCAGGCTGGTTCCTGCCTGGCTGCACGAGGGGGCCTGGCCAGGAACATCCAGCTCCGAGTTTATTGCTGAACCCCGTGACCCAACGCGCTCCCAGCACACCCCACTGAGCCACCCTGCTTCCCACCCCGGGCCTGGGGGCAGCGAGCGGGTTGTGACGGGGCTGCACTTACTTCATCTTGTGGGCTTCGTCGCAGCTGGCCTGGACGTGCTGCAGCGCCTGCAGGATCGGCGTTTGGCTGAAAACTGGCAGCAAGGAGAGGAAAGGCCAGTCAGAGCCCTACCCTGCCGGCCCCACTGCTGGCCAGTGGCACGGAGCAAGCCCTTCTCCCTGGCTGAGTCCGGAGGGACGTCCCTCGGGCACCGACCGATGGCTGGGACCCATCTCTGCGCCTCGGCTCCCCCCGTGTACAGTGCCGGGTAACTCCGTGGAGGAGGAAGGGGCGCAGAAGCCCAGCCCGCCGGGGGAAGGAAGTGCTCTTGTTCCAGGAGGCAGCACCAGAGGCCAGAGCCTGGATGTTCTGCCCAGGCCTGTGGCATGCTGGGTCTCTGCTGACCCGAGCCAGGCTGGGGGGAGAAGGGGAGGGCAGTGCCCCTCCAGCCATGGTGCTAAGAAAGGAGACCCCGCAGCATCCCTGCCCATCCCCCCAGCAATGTGTCTGTACAGCACAGAGCACAACAGGGTCCCCGGACCCTGACGGCCACCCCCCGTCCCAGGAGCGACCATGCTGCCAACCCGTGGCCACCCCCCGTCTCCCAGCTCCGCCCGCGCCCCCTCCCGCCGGGCACGGCCACGTACAGTTCTGTTTGGTGTTGGTCAGGTTGAGCCGGAGGTTGTCCAGGTGCTCCAGGATCTGCTCCAGCGTCAGCTGGGCCAGTTTGCTACTTGAACTGCGCAAGCTGAGGACAGGGCGAGGGAGGCAGAGTTAGTCCCTGGGGGGCCCCGGAGCCACCCACTGTCCCAGAGCGCCGCGGGGATCCCCCCTCTGCCCGGCGTTTGTAGCTGGGAACCCCCCATTGCCAGGCCATGGCAGAGCAAGCCCCCGGGGGCAGGCGTAGGGCCCCGCTCCACCCTCTTGGGGGACACCAGGCTGCTCCCTGGTCGCTCAGATCCCAGGGCCCTGCAGCAGCCCCAAGGCAGGGGGGAGGCGGACTCAGCACCTGGCATGAGATCGAGCCCAGGGCTTGGCCTGTGAAGCTGGGGCGCCCGGAGGCTCTTCTGATCCCAAACCTTGTGCATCCCCAGAGGCTGCTCCACTCCAGCCACCACGCCTGGAACGAATCCTACACCAGGCTGCGGGGAACGCGATGTCCTCGCAGTGCCAGCGCCGGGCATCAGCCGTGGGGGGCAGCTGGCTGGCGAGCTCGTTAGCTGGGATTAGAACGGCCGACTTATTGGGCCCGGAAAAAATAATGAAAAGAGCCCTGGTGTTCGCCTATCAAATGCTGCTAATTAACGAGGGGAAATGGAACCGAGCGGATGGAGCTGGAGATTTCCACAGGAACTGCTCCTCGGGGGGGAGGGGAATGGAGGTGGGGGAGGGAGGGGAATGGGTGTGGGGGGGGCTGTCTTTTCGTTCTGTAGCCGTACAGCCCCTAGCCCAACAGACCCCTGAGCAGGCGGCCTGGAGCCCCTGTGCTACAGAGCCTGAACAAGGCCTGAACGAGGGGAGAGAGCTCTAGGCCGGCCGCTGCGAAACTGGGAGCTTGTATCCCCCGCCCTGCGCCCCGGCCACGCAGCCAGACTCCCAGAGCCGTGCTGCCGGCACCAGCCCAGGGACCGTGCCCCGCACTGCAGGGAGCAGGTCCAGTCAGAGCTCGGCGCTAGGGCCGCTTCAGGACACTAGATGGCCCTTCTGCTCCAGGAAGAGCAGCGCCCGCAGAGCCCTGGAAGGACAGCGGAGGGCACTGTTCTCCCCCAACAGAGCTGGCTTGGGGGGTCGGCTCTGGGGAGCAGGACTGGACAAGGGGCTGTTTCCCCGTCACCCTGGCCCAACTGCTCCGGTGGCTGTTGGGGACTTGCTGCGAGCCAGGCCCCTGGCCAAGCGCCTGCTCTCGGTCCGCCTGGTGTGGGAGGGACCGAGGACTGAATGAGACATGGACACCACGCTCCCCTCGAGTGGGTCCCTCCAGAACCAGCGTGGACCCTCCCAGGAGCGCTGCCAGCCTGCAGCATTTCTGTTAGCCAGGCCCTTTCTCCAGCGCTGGCGCTTGGGGGACAGGAATCCCCAGAGCTCTTGGCCTGGGACAGAGAACGAAGCCTTTGCCCCTGCCCGAATGGGAAAGGCCAGGCTGGGGCGGGGGCAGGGTCCCAGGTCCCGACCCCGTGCCCAGCTCAGTGGGGCTGCAGGACACGGCGGTGACCTGTGTCAGTTACACATGCAGGCGCCACGGCCCCTTCTGCCGCCCGGGGTGAGACGGTGCTGGAGAGGAAACACCGGCACGGCTCAGCAGATGCTGCCGGCAAGCCCAGCGAGTGCTGAGACCCGGGCATGGGAGAGGCAGCTGCAGGACCCAGCGCCCCCTGCGATCTGTGGGGAGTGTGGGCCCGTGTAGGCTGCTGCCAATGCGGACGAGCCTCGTCCCATCCTCACCTGGAGCATTTCACCGGACTGCCACCCTCAGACTGCAGAGCCCACTCCCTCCACCTCAGCCCTGACATGCCCCCCCAGCACCAGGCCTGGACCCCAACAAGCCCCGATACTCCCCACCCCACCTGTGCACCTCAGCCCTGACCTGCCGCACCCCCGGACAGTCCGGGCTCAGGCACAGAATTAATCTCCACCACGTGGTGGTTTTTGGCGACAACGAATATTCTCAAAGGACCGAAATCAACCAGCTCATTCCACCCATGCCTGCACTAGGCAACCTGAACCATGGTGTCCGGCAGCGCCAGCCTGGTGCGTTCACTCCCTGCGGCAGCGCCCGGCCTCTCAACCCCGAGGGTGGCCTCTTGCCGGGGTTACCCTGTGCAGGGAGCGTGGGCTGCTGCCTTACTCTCTGCTCCCTGGCTGAGGGCTCTGCTAGAGCCTTGCAGCGAGGGGAGTCTCACAGGGCATTTGCAAAGCATCATATGCCCTCTGGATCCCCCTTGTCCGCATATTGGTTGTCCCCTTCAAAGAACTCTAATAGATTAG